CCCTGTGTACGTGTGTGGTCCCATTAGGATGGGTCCTCTAGCAGACGAGTTCCAGAATTTGTGGAGCTTACAGGGAAGCGATTTTCTGAGGAGCAGCCTCTGGAGAGATGTAGCTTTGGCAGCCTCCCAGGAGAGTAGGGCAGCCTGTGGGTAAGAAAGCTCTTAAGATGAGGGACTTTGTGTGAGATGTGCAGGGCAGAAGGCAAGCAGTAGATCTGTGATAGTGACATAGGAAGAGGGAGGCATGTGAGGAACAGTGGTGGAAAGCATCTGTCGCCATCCTCCAGTTTCTGGGTAGTCCCGTTTTGTGTTTGTGTTCTTCATCCCTTCCCTTGCGGAGGATTGCAGTGGGATTTTGCACGGTGGCACCTCTCCCTGTGCTGCTGGGAGCAGCCCTGCTGTGCTGAGCTGGCCAGAGCGTTGACAGGGACTGTGGGGACCTGGTGCCACCTGCGTGGCTTCCCACACTGCCTCTGCGCCCTGTGCCGCTGCAGGACACACGCTGCTGTTCTGCCTTGTGCTCTCATTTGGGATGAGACGCCTCAGATCCAGACACATCCTTTGGATTCTGCACTTTTCCAATGGGATTTTGCTTCTGAGGAATGGAGATGCGGCTTCTGGGCAGGGAATGGTTAGGGTGTGATGCCAGGCAGCCTCCCTGTGGGTCGATGCAAGGCTGGCCGGCTCTGTGTTGCCTGTGAAGGGCATCACTTCTTGTGCCTGGTGCCGGCAGCTCCTGCTGCGTGCTGGAGGAGTGGAAGGTTGGAGGTCTGAGATGGGAGTTTGAGGCCAAGTTGAGATGAGCCATTCCGGTGCTTGCAAGACGTCCCTCCCTTCCTCTTCCCATCCGTGACAAGTTGAGAGAGCTCCTGCCTCTGTGTCAGTGAGCACCCAGGAAGAGCAGAGTAGTCCCGGGAGAGGAGTCGTCCTCCTCCACCTCGGCCGTGTCACCCTTGCATGGTGCGTTTGCAGTTGGTGGCGCTGGTGCCTGGGGAGGTTTCTCTGACTGGCCTCCCTTGCAACCTCTCCAGGTTCTGGCATTCTCCATTGAGAGCCTGAAGGAACCAAAGGATGATACAGTGTGGAGAGAGAAAGAGAGACAGAGGTGAGATGATGCTGTGTGCAAAGATGAACTGTGGTGCTGAGGGACAGAGAGGTAGGGGGACACAACGAGGAGGGGTCCAAGGTGTAACGCTGTCCTTACTTGCTTAACTGTATCGCAGAGGAGCAAGCGTCCCGTTCCCTCCTGGGAGAGCCGGCGGCTCTGCCGTCCCTCTGACCGTGCACCTGTCCCTTGCTTGCAGTTGAAGAAGGGGACGGCTACGAGACGGACCACCAGGACTACTGCGAGGTGTGCCAGCAGGGAGGGGAGATCATCCTCTGCGACACCTGCCCTCGCGCCTACCACCTCGTCTGCCTGGACCCTGAGCTGGAGAAGGCC